TATATATATAATTGAAATTTAATTTTCATTTTGCACTAAATGTTGCACATATGTATGGGAAAATGTAAATTTAAATACAGAAATACATTGTAATTTTGCATATTACATTTCAAAATGAATTTTGCTACCCATATGCTTCCATACATTCAGCGTCATCTTGGCTTGATTTCTTTCATGAAGGACCATGATAGTGTGTTTTATTGTTGTTTTTACCTGAGCGTGTTTAAAGGTATGCATAATGAATATGGTAAGACCCAGGCCAAAGATGTAAGCCAGGAAACTGGTGTAGAAGTAAGTTCGAGTGTTCTTCTTCAAACTAAGAGTGAAAGACGAGAAAATGACAGAACAGCTGTAAATCAAAACTAAAAGCACCTGAAGTCACATAAAACAAAAAGAAAAGACTTTACCTAACATCAAAGCGCAGGAGCAGAGCAATGAAGATTCCTGACAGAACAGGAAAGAGTGGATTCAGTAACAAGCTTTTCCTTTAAATACTGAATATAATGGTCATGGCTAAGAGTTCACAGGTTGGGCCTCATTTGTAAAGTGTGTGTACGCTCAGATTTGATCTTAAGAGTGCGTGTACGCTTAAATCCACACCAGCGCTCATATTTGTAAAAACTTCAGCGCCACGTCAGGGTCTGAGCAGACGTACACACTTTTTCTTGTCGGAGTACTGCAGGTTTCTGGAAATGTAAGCTGTTCTTGCAGCTCGCTGTTATAAATTAAAGCATTTGGACGATGACTGGTGATCTTTTATGTTAATGACATTAATTAGGAGTCGTTTACAAGCAGAGAGCTGAAACCATTCATTTGCTCGCAAGTTCAAGATCATTCGCGATTCATAGATTTCACATCTGAAAGAGACAACACGTACGCATCTATTGGCGCTTTTCCACTGCGTGGTACGGACTCGGCACGGCTCAGTACGGCACGGCACTGTTCGGCTCGGCACGGTTTGCGTTTCCACTGCAGTTGAGCACCGCTTTAGAATGGGCGGGATTATTCACATGTGGTTATAGTTGCGCCGCCTCTACTACCACGACTCTAAAAAAACTTTTTCACTCCGCGTCGCCCCATCAGGCTCTCGCTGGATCCGCTCCTCTGCTATCATACTAAAAAAAGTACCAGGTACCGTACCCAGTGGAAAACCCCCAAAAAGTGAACCGTACAGAGCCGTACCGTGCAGTGGAAAAGCGCCATATGAATCACACCTACACATATTTGAGAGATGATCGCAAGATACATTTTAGGATGGTTTCTGTGCAACATTTTATAAATGAGGCCCGTCTTGTGCAATACATACAGTAGCTGTCTTAAACATGTCAATGTGTCTCAGAAATAATCTTCATATATTTACCTGGAATGACAATGTCCCCCAGTCCCAACATGGCAAAGTTTCTGGCATCCAAACCTTTCTCCAGCAAGTCTTGTGGGAAAACCACTAGAACAAACAAGGAGTGGGAAATAGTGAAATATAAGAGTGAGAATTAACTACAGAAATATTAAGATTAAGAGTAGTCATTTCTAGCAGAAGAGGTGATTATCAGGGTCCCTATGCCTTTTGACTACATTTCAAGAGCTGTTCCAGTATGACTGGATTAAAAAAAAATTACAATTAGTAAACAATTTTATTAAGATTAAAAAATAGCTAATGACATGTTATAGGTACATCGTACCTACAAGTGCACTGTATTATACTGCATGAATAATAATAAAGAAATTAAAATGTTTAAAAAATAATAATTTACAATAACTCTTTAAATCTGTAAACACTATAAGGGAGCGAGAATGCGCGGCTGACGTTATTGCCTGTGCCGCTGGTAACAAAACGGATCGGCTCGAAATTGGAAAGAAGTGAGACTGACCGGCCGATCAACGATCCGGGCCGATCATGAGGAAAATCGGCCAATTCTGATCCCTGGCCGATAGATCGGTGCACCTCTAAGGAAAATGTAACTGCATGTTATATGTTATGTACTTATGTCTGTCCAGTGCAGTCTGTTATAGACTCACTTACTTTGAGGATGATTCTTATGCAAAATGAAAATATCGAATTTTTAACATTTAAACAACACACATAACCACAGAATGCAAGTCATGTGCAGAGGAAATTGTATAGAACAGCAAGCACATCTGTCAGAGCACCTGTCAGGCAAGCATCACGATGCTGTGGGTATATGAGTTTGTTTGAAGCGCTTAAGAGGTTAAATTCACTAGTTCAAAAAAAAAAAAAAAGAACGTTCTGTGATCATTTACTCCCTTTCATGTTGTTCCAAAGCTGCATGACGTATTTGTGACCACAGAAGCGTTTTGAAGAATGTTGGTAACCACTATATGGTTATATGGTCCTGAGAGAACCAACAACCTTCTGTTCTGGAGATTAATGGAGAGAAGGATGGATGGATAAATCAGAAACTCACACTTAATTGGGGCTTCGAAGGACTTGGCAACTGTCACCATAACATTGGTGCCAAAAACCTAGAAAACAAAAAGAGTACACGTTGTGTGCCCTATATTAAGCAGGCTTTACAATAGTGCATTTAAAATTCCCCTAACTTACCCAGAACACATCGTAAACGAACAGACCGCCCAGCAGGATGCATCCAGTGCTGACGTTATTGAGGTGGAGCAACTCAACTCCATTCAGGGCAAAAGCCAGACCAAACAGGTTATTGGCTATCCAATGCTGTCAGGAAATACACAAAGACATTTGTCTATATATGCTTGTCAACTAAACGTTTTTTTTTGATGGTTGACTAAAATGAGTTTTAAAATGAGTTTTAAAATTATTTTTTAAAGCTAAAGGCAACAAATATAGCAGAACAAACTATAAGTTGTTATCCACTATCATCCAGCCCATCTGAAAGAACACCAACTTGTGCGATTCATTTAAAGTACAGCACTGCTACCTTGATCAGAAACCACTGAACTTCCAAGAGAGCCCAGGTTACATCTCACTTGATCTCTCAGCACTAACAGTTACTGCTCACATCTAGTTCAAACACTGAGCCTGTGTACATGCACACTGATCACTGCAAAAACTTCTCAAACTATTCAAACCAATGTAACTTCATCCAAACTTGAGCATCCATGTACTGCACTCAAGAGTACTGTAGTTATGGAAACTTCATTTCTAGTAAAACGCCATAGAACCTGTTTTGAAGAGTTTGAAAAAGAGTATGGCTCAATCAGGGGCCAGTTGCATAAACATAGCCACTATGTTAGGACTGTATCTTAAGAACAAGTTTGACCAGCTAGCAGTTAGCCAAAGGATAATCAGTAGGGATACACCGATATATCTGCCAATAATCTGCATCAGCTGACAAAAGCAATTATCTGCGTTATCTGCTATGGGTGATCAGGCCCGATTATTTCGTGTCAATCAAAAGGCAGCAGAAAAAGAGACTGCAACTTGCGTGAAAAACTTGTGTGGGTTTCTTGTGTTGAATTTAGGGCTGTCCAAGTTAAAGCAATAACGAATGAATGAATGAATGAATGAATGAAAGAAAGAATAAATTAGGCATTTATATAGCTCTTGGTACCGCAGTAGTAGCTATACAATGACTCGTTTTTTTTTTGTTTTTTTTTGAGTTACAGTGGCTACATTTACATGCAACCAAATAATCTGTTTGTAATGGGATTGACGGCTCAATCGGGCTGAAAAGACTTCATGTAAACACCTCACTCGATCCGACTTGAGCTTGACCTGAATCAGATTTCGACCGGATTGTAAGGAATGGTTTATTGCTTTTCTAATACGGTGGAGCAAGCTGTTCTTCCCGTTGACTAAAGAGCTGTATAAATGAGTGTCCTGTCATAAAACTATTCTAACTGCGTTTTAACAAAGCGATTTTACTGCATGATAAATATAAGCATCACGGCCCAGCGGTTTATATGTAATATCTATCTAAAAGTGGATCAATCTTAATTCTGCTGTTTAAAACAAATAAAGAAACGGTGTAGGAGAGTTGGTTATTATGTGCAAACAGTGGGAAACTCTATATTTGTGCAGTGTGCACGTCAAAAAAAACTATTATGATTTGAAGCTTGTGACATATAAACGCACACATCAACCCGATCACGTTATTTAGCGTTCATGTAAACACTACATTCAGATTCATCAGTCGGAATGAATTCAGTCCGATTGAAACAAAAGTTGTGCATGTAAACAAAGCCAGCGTCAACGAGACAGTTACTGGCTCTGGATTATTTACTATATTTTATGTGTAATATTAACACACCATCAGTATTTCAATTTTGAAATATCACATCACTGTCAATAATGGCACTACTATATTGCAACAACCCTGGTTCCCAGTGAAAGTGTAAACTGATAAAATGTATATCTTGAATACGGTGAAATTCACTTTGGATAAAAGCATTTGCCAAATGTAAATGTGGAGACAAGTATAAGGGTAAAGACAAATGTATGTGCATACGTATAAAGCACACATATACAGTATATGTAATTAATATGTTAGTAGTTATCGGTGAATGATGGCCAGAGCTTTCATGCATAAATGTTAAATATTTCTATATTTATTATATGTAATACACTGAAATAATATCAACAATTTGGTCAGTGTGACCAAATATAGTAAATATAGTTAAAGGGCAGGAGCTTGAAACTACTGCTATTTACTGGATTTAAACATTTAAATCATGTACACACAGAATATGCATTTGGCCTACGTAAAGCATCAGCAAGATTAACTAATTTATTTTTATATAAAACAAATGCAGACACAGTTTGATCTAAATTAAGACAGATCTACTCTACCTTTTTGAGGACGTACCAGACCCCTACCACACTGCTGATTCCCAAGCATATCAGATCCTTAGTGTCAAACTCATAGTTGACGATCTCTGTGGGAGATAACAGGGACGTTAAGAGTATTTATACACCATACACACAAATGTAGTTTTGTAAATGTCCCAACACTTCTCACCCTCTTTGCTTTCTCCTGAGCCCTGGGTGAACAGCAGCTGGTACTGCTTATTTGGCACGTTAGCAGGGAAAACTCTGCACATAAAGGGACTGGGACAGCAACACCAAAATAGTTAACCTAAATCATGTCATATTAAAAGCATTACACAACTCAAACTCACGAAACATTTTAGAAGCTCTACGTATTTTCATACCTCATTGTGTGAGACAGCGCTAATACTCCCAGCACGAAGAAATACATGGATAACAGCAAGTTAATGTACTCTTGCGAGAAAATCTACAAGAAAAAAAAAACATTACAAAACCGTTTTAATGAATGCTTTTAAGCAAAGTTTATACAGCGTAACTGAGCGGTATATGCACATTACAGTTAACAGAAAAGGTGTATTTTGTAAGTAAAGAGGTCTAGGGCTGGGCGATATGGCCCAAAAAAATCATCATGATAATATATATATTTTTTTATATGTCGATAAATGTCAAATCTTTATTTCTTTCAAGTTTAAATGCAGATTTCTTCTCCTGAGTGAAAGTTGTAACCTGACATTTAATTGTGGATTTTACTCTTTTTCAGAACATGACAAACACTTGCCAAACTGGTAAATATTTTACAAATCTAAGGTACAATATTCTAAAAACTTATAATAAAATAATTTTTCTACATCAAAATATGCACGAGTAAATTTAAGTAAATCATTTTTCTGTCCGTTTTCCTTAAAATATCTTAATAGAGATATTAATTTCTTAGTTTAACAGGTGATATTGTTTAATATCATGAAACAGGTTGGCGTTCCCTGACTTTGATGGCATGATGCAGATGTAAATTTATGCTCATTAAAAAAAACGTAATATCTGTAAAAATTGTAACAACCTCATATTTATAGGGTAAAATTTAAATATTCTGACTGTGTTTTAGTAAGGGCTCTACTTTCATTACATTACATTAACATTACATTTAGTCATTTAGCAGACGCTTTTATCCAAAGCGACTTCTTGCAGCGGCATTTTGGATTAATTTTAGAGGTTTGATAGAAGTGGCTGGAAGACCTGCCGAGAGAGCATTGCAATAGTCCAGCCTGGATAGAACAAGAGCTTGAACAAGGAGTTGTGTTGCATGTTCTGAAAGAAAGGGCCTGATCTTCCTAATGTTGTATAAAGCAAATCTGCAGGACCGGGCAGTTTTAGCAATGTGGTCTGAGAAATTCAGCTTATCATCAATCACAACTCCAAGGTTTCTAGCTGTTTTTGAAGGAGTTATAAATTTAAAAAAAATTAACCATCGATCATCCATAGTATCACACAATTAGATCATGATAATCAAAGGTAAAACCACACTCAGCAGGTAAAGGCATCTGCTGGCGCTGCGCTGTTGTTTCAGCTGAGGTGATAATTGGTCCGTGGCACACAAACATTATAGAGTGTGCTGTCGTTACACAGTGCGAGAGCGGCCTCTAGAGGAGGAATCACTGGAGCATCACTGGCGCTGTTTGTTTTGACACGTGAGGCTGAGCGCTGCATGGAGCCAGACAGATTTAAAATGTTTAATGTCACCATTGTTATCTTCTATTTACATTACTTTATGTCCAGCTGGTAAGTTATGCATTCATTAGCCAACAAAGTTGCATAATTAAAGCTAGTGAGATCAGAAAGCAAACTGAGACATTCATGCATCCGACAGAAACATAAACCAGAAATGCATCCAATATCAGTTTTTTTTTTAAATTATTATTATTGAAGGAAAAACAATGCATTAAGAGACGGGGAGTGAAAACTTTTTGAATTTCAACATCAAGACAAATTTAACTTATTTTGTCTTCTGGGAAACATGCAAGTATCTTCTGTAGCTTCTGAAAGAAAGTACTAAATGAAAAAAATATGGTATTTGGGTAAAATAAGAAAAATTTACTTCATTCTGTTCAAAAGTTTACACCCCCCGACTCGTAATGCATGGTTTTTCCTTCTGGAGCATCAGTGAGCATTTGAACCTTCTGTAACAGTTGTGTATGAGTCCCTCAGCTGTCCTCAGTGTGAAAAGATGGATCTCAAAATCATACAGTCATTGTTGGAAAGGGTTCAAAATACACAAAAATGCTGGAAAACCAAAGGATTTGTGGGAGCTGAAGGATTTTTCTGATGAACAGCAGGCAGTTTAACTGTTCAGGACAAACAAGGGACTCATGAACAACTATCACTAAACAAAAACACTATGTGTGTGAGTATTAAGAATCAAGCGTATGTAAACCTTTGAACGGTGTCATTTTTATAAATTCAACTATTATTTTCTCTTGTGGACTATACATAAATGTATTTTATGTGAAATATCTTATTCAGGTCAGTACTAAATAAACAATA